GTACCCTTAGTGAAATGCTACATGAACGCCCATTAAAAATACCGGATCCGTTCGGATCCTTTTTTGCGGAACACTAGGGGTCCCCATATGTTGAAGCTAAATCAAAGGGAAATTTAATTTATATAATTTTATAAATATAAATAATTGCTTAAATTTGATTACCTTTAGAATTATATTTTTAGCATCGATGAATTCAATAGGTTCATAAATCGTTTGATTCAAAAGCTCATGAAATCCTAAATCTTTTGCACACTTTTCAATATATACGCCATATAATGCATATAAATTTTTTTCTTTCGTTTTCTTAATCATAGTCCAAAATTCTGTTAATTCATCACTATTATAATTAAATTCAAAAATTAATATTCGCTAATCCTTTTTTATCACCAGAAACATATATGTAAATAAGTCCTTCATCAGAATAATGAACCAAACATGCACCACACTGTATATTAGCTATGCGAGGCCCATAGTATACAAAATTTATAGAGGGGCACAAGGAAAATATGTATACGGAGGGGCTAAATTGAAATTTAGTGAGGCTCCATTAATGTAAACATACCGGAAAGCTTGGCGAGGCTCTACTATTGTATACATGTAATTATGGGGGGCATATGAAAATATACAAAAGAAGTGCTATTCAAAATCCTTTTTTAGCACCAGAAACATAAATCTTTCATCAGAATAATAAACCAAACATGTATATTACTATGCGAGGCCCATAGTATACAAAATTTATAGAGGGGCACAAGGAAAATATGTATACGGAGGGGCTAAATTGAAAACTTAGCGAGGCTCCATTAATGTAAACATACCAGAAAGCTTGGCGAGGCTCTACTATTGTATACATGTAATTATGGGGGCATATGAAAATATACTAAAGAAGTGCTATTCAATAATCATAAGGGGTATTAAGAAAGTACCTAATAAAATATACTTTCCTGAATGTTGTTTTTTGTAATCCATAACCGTTACATGTTCTGAAGATGTCCCGTTTAATTTGATCAAAGTTGCTGCTAAAATCTATTTTGCCAACGATAGCGTTGTAAATGCAAAAGTGATAAAAACTTTTATCTAATTTATATTTCTTAGAAAATTCTATGTATTCATTCATTTCGAAAGGGAAAATTATCGTTATTTTCGCGTTGTTTTGATTTTTAAATAACGATCTGTCGATCTTTTGTAAAAATTATATCAGGCATGCCGATCCTTGAAATCCTATTGGCTGTCTATAGTAAACGTTCTATATGAAATTACAATCGAACATGCTAACGAAAATGATTAAATCTGATGAATTTTGTCAGAAGCAAGTCACTTCAGAGTAGTGAACCAAGTCGATCTTAAAAATTCGACTTGAGTCGATTATTTAAAGATATTTTCATGTGAATGATGCACCAATCATGTTTCATAATATCTATATATATAGTATTATTTAAAGAATGAAAACCTTCGAATCAGTGCACAAAATTTCGGGTGATGTAATGTGATTTTTCTCCGAAAGTGTTTTTTCCTAACCGGAACTTAATAAACACTTAATAAATCATAGCCGGAAGTCGTTATGATAAACGACGGA